GTGTGTGTGTGTGTAAGACAGTGAAGTGAACAGTCACAGCCGGGGACGTGAGTGTTCTCTGCAGGAGGACAAAAACAAAGAGCTGCAGATCTGAGTGTTCAGCTCAAGGGCAGGACCAGCAGCAGGGACTTGGACTTGTTATGCTGCTGGTGTGCGCGCGCGTGTGTGTGCGCGCGTGTATGTGTCTTACTTGTTTATGTATGCAATGCAAAAAGCAGAAAAAAAACAAAAATAAAAGAGGGATAAATGACTATGCATGTGGAGTTAAATGAGGAAGGGAACACACCCGCTGCTCCTCTGGTTCCTTTTTTTATTTCTTTTTTTATTTGATTTGATGATTTTCCTGAGGAGGTGAGACTCTCGGTGCTGGACTCACATTCTTAATGCAAAGCTCTGCTCGTGATTTAAGGAGGCCGCGCGTAACCTGAATTAGTTGATGAATTTTCTATCGATCCTAAACAGGCCAGATTTATCTCTGACACCGTGCGGCTGCTGCTGGGTGGCGCCCGAGTCAGGCCACTCACCCCACTCCGCGCGCGTTAGCGATTTAAAAAAAAAAAGAAAAGAAAAAAAGGGAAAAAAGCGGAGGAGTGAGGGAAGGAGGGAAGGAAAGAGGGGGAAAAAAGTTTGGAAGTCATGTTTCTGCACACTCTCAGCTCGGCCGCCGCTGCCTCCCCCTGGCGCTGACTTTCTGTTCTTTCTCTCTCCCCTAGCTTCTTACTTTTTTTTTTAACTTGGAACCAGTAGGACATTTAGGGAGGGAGCGGAGGGGGGGGGGGGACTCCCCCTTTCTTCCCCCCCAGCTTACATATCTTATGTTTGTTTGTTTGTTTGTTTGTTTGTTTAGTGCTTGTTCGGTTGTGATTCTCTGGCGCGCGGCCCGACATGTGGTGAAGAGAGAGAGAGAAAAAAAGAGAGAGAGAGAACAGTGCACAAGGTGATGGAGAGAGTGATGGGGGGAGGAAAAGTGAGTAAGAGGAGAGGGGAGGTTTATTGTAAGACTTGAATGCCAACAAACTGAGGCCATATGATAATGTGAGGGAGGGAGGGAGGGAGGAGAGGGAGGGGGGAGCTTTCTGTGTACGCTTAATCCTATTTCCTTATCCGGGGTTTGTCCCGCAGCCGCGCCATTGGCCGGCCAGCGTCACGTGGTCGCTCAACTTTGTTCACTTGACAGAAAAGTAGGAGGGTTCAAGGGAACGGGAATAAGCGAAGAGTAAAGGGATGAGATATAAATTTTAGTTATATATTTTCCGAGTCGGTGCAATTCCACAAAAAAGACTAAATTAATGGCCATGAGCTCCTATTTGATCAACTCCAACTATGTGGACCCCAAGTTCCCGCCGTGCGAGGAGTACTCACAGAGCGACTATCTGCCCAGCCACTCTCCGGACTACTACAGCTCTCCGAGGCAGGAGCCTGCCTCCTACCAGCCGGACTCCCTCTACCACCACCTCCACCACCAGCACCAACAGCAGCACCAACCACAGCACCACCAACAGCACCGAGGCGAGCCGCCCTTCACGCCGTGCCACCGCACAGGGCAGCCCGCCTCGGTGGTGATGTCCCCCCGGGGTCACGTCCTCCCCCCTTCGGCCGGGCTGCAGCAGCAGCAGCAGCAGCAGCAGCAGACAACGACGACCCCGGTCCCGGAGCCGCGGAGTCACCGCTGCGACTCGGTGACACCCAGCCCGCCTCCGCCTCCGTCCTGCGGCCAAACGCCGCACAGCCAAAGCACTTCTTCCCCCGCGAGCAACCGCAAAGACCCCGTTGTGTACCCGTGGATGAAGAAAGTCCACGTAAACATCGGTACGTGCTGCATGCAAAACTTCTTCTTCTTCTTCTTCCTCCTCTCTCTCTCTCTCTCCCCCACACTCTCTCTCCCCCTATCTCTCTCTCTCCCCCGGTGACCCCCGCGTGCCCGCGCCGTGGGGGTGTCCAGCGTCGGGATCTACGGCTCCCCCCCGCCGCCTCTGCTGCCAGTGGTGGAGTGCAGCCCTTGGGTCGAGATTTACGACCGTCTGTTTGCAGGGCCAATATAATTACACCCCCCATAAATTTTTATTACACCTCCGCGCCGAGGTGCCTTCTGAAGTCCGATCTCGCCGCTCGTCTGCTCTAATACCTCCGCCTTATGACAACTCGGCGCGACCCCATAAGTTAGGTTTTATGCCGTGGTAATTTGATTTTAAGTGGTCGGGCTGTATAAACGGTGTACTTTACTCCGTCGCGCCCTCCTCTCTCCCCCGCTCGTTGTTCCAGGGGAGGGAAAGTTTTATGGGCAGCTGAAATATTCACGTTTACGAGGCGGCAGTAAAAGAGTTGTGCGGCAGCCAGCAGCTCCAGTCTCTCCCGGCTCCACTCCCGCAGACGTTAGAACGCACTCGGCGCCTCGTTTTTGGAATATCTGGAGCGCTGTTAGGCACCGCTACATGGACGCGTTTTAAACGTTTACACCACCTGTTCGGTTGGTAAGAGAGCATGTATATATTTATTTATCATCGGATATTTAGCCATCTACTGCTGCAGCAGCACAGAAACACACACACACACACACTGATACACACACACACACACACTCTGGCTGCAACATATCTGTGCCTTCCAGCATTCTGCTCTCGTTGATGTGTCCAATAATCGCTGCCCTCGCGTTGCTGCCGGGGCTGCTGCCTCACCCCCACCACCTCCATCACATCCCTCTCCCCCATCTCCCCTCCACCTCCAACACCTTTATCCTCGGTCTGATTATACAACATGCTGCGTGCGTGAAAACACGTGAAAATTATACAAAGAGGAGACCAAAAAATTATACAAAGAAGGAGACCAAAAAAAACAAACAAAACAAAAAACATGTCTCCATGTTTTCTTCACACATTTACAGAACGGTTCCTCCTGTCGGTTCCTCCTAATCGAACCAGACTACGGTTCATTTCCTCTCACATATCGAACCTTTGCGCTCACAGATCACAACATTTGGGGTCGAATTATTGGAACATATGGAAACATCCAGAATGTTCTGTTGTGTTGAGAGTGCGTGTAGACACAGCGCGTGAAAACAGCGTGAAAAAAAATAATAAACCAAAGGCCCTGAGAAGGTGACAGATTTATTTAGGTCAAATCACGGCGGTCATGAGTTCAATTCCCTGACGTTTTCCTTCACGGCATTTTACATTTCTATATTTTTAGAGTTCGGTTCGGTGTGTGATTATTCCGGTTCACGGTACTAACGCGGTTCTTGTAGGTCAGTACTGGATCACATACAGGGAACTATTTATTGGTCTATTGTTGTGTGTCAGTGTCTCAGTGGTTGCTGTAGTGACTGTATCCTTCGTCCCCCTCCTCCTCCTCCTCCCCCACAGTGAGTACGAACTACACGGGCGGTGAGCCCAAACGGTCTCGGACGGCCTACACCCGGCAGCAGGTTCTGGAGCTGGAGAAAGAGTTCCACTATAACCGGTACCTGACGCGCAGGCGCAGGGTGGAAATCGCGCACACGCTTTGTCTGTCGGAGCGTCAGATCAAGATCTGGTTCCAGAACCGGAGGATGAAATGGAAGAAGGACCACAAGCTGCCCAACACCAAGGTCCGTTCAGGGGCAAACAACAACAACATCAACAACAACAACAACAACAACAACAACACAAACTCCCAGAACCGGACCAGTGGAGCTCTATAGCCCGGTTCTTTGTCTCACAGACAACCTGCAGTTTTTGTTTTCTCCTCTTCCTCCTTATAACCTGATGATCGAACTGAACCTGCAGCCACTGCTTTGTGAACTAAACCGGAACCTGCACTTTGGACCGGGACAACGCTTTCACTCTGGAGGGAGAGATGGTTGTTGATGGTTGTTTATGGTTGGATGTAGCGGCCGGTGCTGGTGTTACACACGATGTGAGGGCCTCTGAGGAAATAAATCACACACACACACACACACTCTCACACACACAGACTGTGCAGAATGAAAGAACTGACGTTGAATGAAAAAGAAATTGAAAAAAAAAACAACCTATGACGTCTCTTTGCCTCACCCTCATTCACACACTTCTGCTCCTCTACTTTTATTACCTCTTGTCTTTTTATACCATCTCCACCTCCTCCTCCACCTCCTCCTCCTCCTCTGCTTTCCATATGACAGCATACGACAGTAGATTCAATGTAACACGCTCGAGCACGCGCGCGTCTGTGTGTACGTGTTATTATTTTCTCTCTTTTTTAAATTTTTTTTCTACTCTCTTCTACCCGATACTCTCTCTCTCTCCCTCTCTCTCTGGGTGAAGATGAATCCTCGTTTTCATCTTTAATCATGACAAACTCGGCTCCCATTTGTCATGTTTACTCTGCGGTACACAAAGCCAAAAAGAGCAGGGGGGAGGAGGGGGAGGTGAACCCATTACACCCCCCCTCCCTCGGTCCCACAAACACACACACCAAAACCACACAAACACATGCATCTCCAAACCACCGTTCAGGAACATAAATATTAAATGGATCCCTCGATGCGTCGGAAACAAGTATTTCGAAATGCGCGTGCACGCGCCACAATTATTGTCTTTGAAATAATTCTAATTCTAGTGTTTTTTTTTAATTGTTGGTTGTAAACATGATCCATCCTCACGCCGTGTCTCCGCGTGACACACACACATACGCGCGCGCTTGCTCGTGTGTTTGTGTGTTACACTGCGGTCGGCCGGTCGTTCACGTTGTTGGTATTGTTGTTATTGTTGTTGTTATTATTGTTATTATTGTATGCATACAGGGAAACTGACTATGTGCACAGTTACCTCGCAGCGCACGCACGCACGCACGCACGCTCAACGAAGCAGGGTTTTTATTCTAACGAAGCTGCCTGAAAAAAAAGGACTTTTATCTATTCAAACCAAAACGATGGTACACGTAGCTTCAGAACGACATTATAAACGCAGCACTATACAATGTACTACCTATTACCTCAGCTGTACCTATATACATATTATTATTATTGTTATTATTATTGTTTGTATCTGTTTTAAATCTTATATTTTTCCTCTTACACTTGTGGAATGAAGTAATAGCTTTTCCAGGTTTTTATATTTTTTTAATTTTTGTGACTTATACAAATAGTAATTATTAATAGTTAATATTATTATTATTATTATTATCTGCAACACAGAGAGGCGCTATTGATTTATTATATGTGAAACAAAGGTTATTTAATTGGTTCCGGTCACAGACTTTCAGAACAACGAGGAGCCTTTTCTTTTTGCATGTCCGAATGACTGTTTTATTTTTTTATAATTCGTTTTTTTATTAATTTTTTTTAAAAAACAAAAAGTACTTTTCCTTCTCGTTCTCTGTTGTTTTCTACGCACATGAAATGCGCGCCCCCGTCTCCTCTGCTCTTTGTTCGTTTTTTCCCCTCATCGTGACACTTTTTTAGTCTGTATTTTTTTAAATATAAATATATTTTGTTTTTGTTCTTGTTTTTTTTCCCACATTCCAAAGATGAGTCGAAGATGCTGTGGTGCATGACGACTGATGATGGTGATGATGTTATTGTTGAACATGTGTGTGTTTGCCGCTCCTCTCTCTGCCTATATCTATTCCCTCTTATTATTTGTAAATAGTCCGTTGAATTTAAATAAATGAGTTTACTCTCTAAAAAAACATCACTCTGGACTATAATTTGATTAAATTGTTTTTTTTTTTAAAAATCACTAAAAGTCCCGTTCTTTCTCGTACATTTTTATAGAATTATATAATTATTTATTTATATAAATATTTACAAGAGTCCTTTTTCCTCCTCTCACTGCAGTGAAGGCTGTTTTTTTTTTAAATTTCTCTCTCTCTCTCTTACTTCCTTCCTCTCTCTTCCACATGCACGCACAATAAATAATTTCATTTAATTCCAATGTTGTTGTTTTTTTTCTCCTCAGCAAACCCTGACGTGCGAAATTTAGGGGAGCCGGGATGATTAATCTGTGGCGGCCTTGACTGATCCTGGTACATTACGTTCTGTAATCTCGTTTTAAATCACACACACACACACACACACACACACACGCACAGCGTCCCTCCGTTTCACTCCCGTTCTCCCGTTAATTTAACGGCTGCCCAGCTTTGCGTTCACCCGGCCGACCAAACCAGTACGGGACAAACCCCGCCTCCTCCTCCTCACCCTCCTCCTCTTCCTCGTTTACACTCTGAAGCCAAAAATATAAAAATAAAACGATTAAAAGTCAAAGTCCATCAGCAAACGAAATGACGATAATTCTGCTCACATATTGTGATATTTCCCGGTTATACCGTGTGTACGGCGGTGCAGCGCGCGCTCACTGGTGTTTTATTTTTATTTTATATATTTTATATTTTTATACATTACAAAAAAAAAAAAAAAAGGTAGCAGGCCGGCGCCATAGCTCAAACCCTGACAACCAAATAGATAATCAACAAGACGAATGGCTTCTTTTGTGAGGCGCGGCTCCCGTATTAATTTTCATTTTCTTTTCTTAGAGCAGGTATCGAAAATATATAGAGCAAATGGGGAGTGGGGGGTTAGTGAGAAAATAGCATTCCTCTCCATGAACTTTAAACAAAAAGAGAGAGAGAGAAAAAAAAAAAGGAACCGTGGCCCCAAATTGGTCCGTTCGTACTTCTCTGCCCAGAGAAAATTCCCTATTACTTGTTGGTTGATTTCTCCCTGGGCTTCTTGCCACAGCGACTCTCTCTGCCCATTTATCTGTTTTCTTCCTATTTATGAAAGGCTCCTGCTACCAAAAAAATGTACACCCTTCACACTGTAGTACTGTGGAGTCAGAGACTCTGGAGAAAAAAACGCAAAAAACAAAAGGCAAGGTGACAAAAATGACTATTTTTACCCTGCTTTTATAGATTAAAATCACAATATATTATTAGTAGTAAAGTATATTAGAGTTGTAGTAGTAGTAAAAGTATCAGTAGTAATACTTAATGAGTTGAGTGTAATTGTAACTTCAGATTCGTGATTGTGTGACACAACAACAACAACAACAATAACAACAACAACAACATCAATAACAATAATAATGTTTTTTTCTAACAAAATAATTGTGGGTGACCACAATAACGTCTAATTCACACGGACTGGCCGCGGGCCGCGCACCACCTTCTGTCCTCTCACACGTTAGTTTCAGAATTCTGTCATTTCTTTTTTTCGCTTCACCCTAAATATCCAATATTGCAGCATCCAAACACACACACACACATACACACACATGCAGTGCCACAGATGTGTCTGAACAATAACCCCCCCGTCCCCCCGGCCTCCCACTACTACCCCTTAATGCCCGTGAGCCTTTGCAGTCAGAGTTAAAATAAATGGATTTGCGTGCGCGCTGACACCGCGTACAATAAAATCTATACCGAGGATTCTGTTCACAGCACCTTTATCAGGCCGGGCCTTCTGCTGTCTGTTTCTGGGAATGGGGGCAGGAGTTTATTTGTGAAGGGGGGGGGGGGGAGGAGAGAGGGGGACACACCACAGACTGATGCCGTGAAAGAAAATAAAGGTTCACAGCCATTATTTCGTGGACAGGGCAGAGGGGACAGCGGCGCAAGAAAAATGCGAAAATTATTCAAGAAAGCAAAAAAAAAAAAAAAAAAAATCATTAATCACGTGCTCCTCTTTTAACACTTCTTCTCCGTCCAAATCTTTCTTCTCCATTGTCCCCCCCCTCCCCACTCCACCCCCCCGACAGCCGCACACAAGAGCCTTCTGCCAGGAGACGCAGAGGGCACGGGGCAGAAAGAAGAAGACGTCTTGGAAGACACTTGGAAGACTAACCCCCAGATCTGACCCCCTCCCTCCCCCTTCACACAGGCCCGCAGACGTAAACACTCATACACCCCCCCTCCCCTTCCCACGCCATCAGAAAGCTATTTTTTAAACATGCCACAGTTTCCCAGCATCAGAAAAGAAAGAGAAAAAAAAAACTTTTTTTTTTCCTCCTCTTTCACTGAGAAGAAGAAAATCCCTCCCGCAACAAGAACCTCCAACAAACCGGCGGCCGAGTCCTGCGGGCTCTGACGGGGACATGGGCCACAGGTCGAAGCACCGTGGGCCGCAGCCTAAGGTAAGAGGCCTGGAAATGTCATTTTGTGCCTCCGCTGTTGTTTTTCTCTGCTGCCCCTCGGTGCAGGGGAGCGGACAAACGCTGCCGACTCTGTTTTCTCTGCTTTTTATGGTTTTATTGCCCCCTGTGCGCATTTGGCGGGGTCAGGAGAAGGGGCCGTTTATGGCCGCGGGGGCTTTCATTTCGGAGCTGTCTTGTTTGTATTGTAAGGTGTGTGTGTTGTGTGTATATACAGTCACAGACGAGTGGCTTTTGTTGAACTGTTTCTGTTGTTTTCATGCGACTGTGACGTCACCTCTGCAGCCGTCACTCACCGAGGCCTAAATCACTGAAACACTGTTGTCAGAAATACCATCACTGCCATTATAGTATTATATACATGGTTATATTATGGAGAATTTAAAACATTTACTTCAACCTAATCACTCGGTCTTTATCGAGTTCGATTTCCGTCGTTTTCTGACGACATCACGTGGATATTGTCAACGAAGTACAACGAAACAAAAAAACGTAAAAATGCCAGGTGTGAAGGTAGTAATATCTCCTATAAATTACTATAGTATTACTACAATAATAACTACACCAATATCCGATCATTAGAATTAGAAAATGAAGTTGTAATTAAATAATTGTTAAAACGGTCGACACAGTTTTATTATTATTATTATTATTATTAACATTCGTTTAAATGTTGGTTTGGTGTTTTTATTTTATTTTTATTTTTGAATTTACCGACTGAGTTCTGGACAAATGGCCCCGTTTATTGTACATATGGCGGATCCGCAGGTGAATAATCCCCGGTTCACACGCGCCTCGTTATGCATTTGTCCTCTGTTGCATGAGTGTTTTGTTGTCATAAAGTAGTAGTTGTTGCTGCTGCTGTTACTGCTGCTGCTGCTGC